AAAGTTTCTTCGGAAAGAATTTTTACGGAAAATTAACTAACGACCAGAAACGTAACAAATTGGTGTGAGAAGTGAGATGGAAAAGAAAAAAAATGGCAACAAGAAGCGGCAAATCAAACTACAGCTTAGCAGATTTGATGGCAGTAATACAAGAACAGCAAAAGACACAAGAAGAACGAGAAAAGAAACAAGAAGAGAGATTACAGCAGTGGCAAGAAAACCTGCAACAGTGGCAGCTCGAACAGCAAAATAAACAAGAAGAGAGATTACACCAGTGGCAACTAGAACAAGAAAGGAAACAAGAAGTACAAATGGAAAACATTCGTAAATTTCAAAGTGAATTAAATACATTAAAGGATGATTTATTGTCTTTTACACAAGAAGGATACATTAACCATCAGCTTAATCAGCCCCAGAAAATGGGAAGTCGCTTCCAGACCCCGCAGCTAAACCCTAATGCAGACATCTTCAGTCCTGTTAGAAGTCACATCCCAGATATGAATGCCAGCAATAGGGGTGATCCAGTACGAAAGTATGGCACACAAGGCCTACCCAACTGCACCACCCGATCTCCTCAAGTTGTTGCTGAGGGATCAGTTTGTAGATGCCTTGGACACTCCACAACTGAAGGTACAAGTGAAGCAAGCACACCCCTCTACTATGCAGGATGCAATGGCCAGAGCTCTTGAATTTGAAATCTATGTTAAGTCCAGCACAGAGGAACCAAGGTTGATACAGTAATCAGGATTCAAGGCCAGAAAAGGTCAGCGTTCAGAGAGGTTTGAGGGACTTTGCTGGTACTGTAACAAACCTGGGCACAAGAGAGCTCAATGCTGGAAACTTCAACACAGGGAAGATGCCATGACAGGAAAGGCTGCTACCCATAAAGGTTGTTGGAACTGTGGAGAGCAAGGACACATGAGGAGCCAGTGCAAGAAGAATATTACCAATAAGTCAGCTTCGGGAAACCAGTAGTGGTTGGTTCCTGAGGGACGCCCACCAACCCCCATCGTGAAAGTCCTAACAGCTAAGTGTAAAATGGCAAGCACACATGGTGTCTATGTGACAGGAAAGCTGGATGGCCAAAGGTGCGAACTTTGTCATAGATTCTGCATCTCAGCAAACCCATGTGAGTATCAAGGTGCTGGATCACAAAGGAGTACCAGAAGCTCTGTGGCGTGACAGGACATTCTGCAAGGTTGTGGGGGACCAGTGTGGGTAACTATTGAGCTCATGGGCATGAAGAACAGACAGAAAGTATACTTGGCTGACATTGAAGACCAATGAATATTAGGATTGGACTATTTAATACCTAGGAAGTGTGTAGTTAACTTCGATAAAATAACGATTGGAAACAACAAAGGACCAGACTCCAGTAAGTGTTGCTGCATCTGTTGATTTGCATGTCACAGCACTTAAGTCAACTACAATATCCCCTATGTCAGAGAAGATAATTTGGGGTAGAATAAAAGAACATTCCCATGGAAGCCCAATGCTTGTAGAAG